GGGGGGGGGGGGGGGGGGGGGGGGGGGGGGGGGGGGGGGGGGGGGTGTGCGGCAGAGGGAGGGAAGAAAAGAAGCTGAGCCAGCAGTTTGCAGTGACCACATTTTAGAAGTCTGGTAACCATGTGATAATCTAGACTCCCTTACTTTATTTTTCTTCATAACATAACATTTTTTATTTGTTCTGGAGCGCTGCCAGCAAGCATGGCCATATCTGACTCAGAATTAACAGAAGCTTCTTTTACTGGGAATATATTCGAGCCACAGGTATGGAAAGCTGAAGAGTTGTTTTAAATCTGTGATGGGAGACAAAATAGATGAGCCTCACCATTAAAGAAAACGTTTTTATTCATCGTGCATTCACAACAAATTTATGACCTCTTTTTTTAAACATCTTTCCTGAGTTTGTTTTCAAATCATTCAGGACATTAAAAAAAACTGACTTTAATTTTTATTGTTTGTGCTTGATGTTTAAATTTACAAAGTAGAAATTTAGTATGAACCTTGTGGTGAAAATGTGTTATGGTTGTACAGTATATAAGCAGCATTTTGTATGTGTGTGTATAAAACGTGTTTCCTCTGCTTTTTTTTAGAACATAGTATCAACTTAAAATCAAAGCGTTCCAATGCTGTAACGGTTAATGTTTTAATTTTGATGGAAGATTGTTTGCAGGGCAGTTTCCATGTTTATTTTAAAAATATACTAGTGGCTTTAACTAAGGTGCAATCATTAAAAAATTATTTGAGATATCGTGTTTTGGAAAAAAAAATACCCACGCTGAGTTGTTATTGCCATCTGCTTTTGTTTTTTAATATCTTAAAAATAAATATGCAGTGTACAGTAGTCCCTCGCTACTTCGCGGTTTGTTTATCGCGGACTCGCTCTATCGTGGTTTTTCAAAATAAGATTAGACATGACACAACTGGCTGATTGATGGATGAGCCGCACGATCAGCATGGAATTTTTATCTAAAATAAATTGTTTGAAATTATTTAGCACCTGCTGCACCTTTGTGCAGCCCATACCGCAGGATAAACTTCCTGCTGCAGCTGATCAGCTGATCTCCGTGCAGAGCGGAGAAGTGGGCGTGGCCAAGAGCGCTTGCAGGTGGCAAAGAGCAGAGGAGGAAGGGAGCTGAAATCATGACATTCTGTGCTCTTTAGACCATTTAGAGTTTAGAAACATTATAATATTGCAAGAGTGTGAGAAGGGTTTAAAACACCTTACTATATATACATATATATAAATACTAAAATATCTACTACTTACTACTTGTACTACAATTCCTACTTGGCGGTTTTTCACTTCTTATGGGACTTCAGGGTACAGCTTTCCCGTGATAAACAAGGGACTAGTGTACACCATTTATTAAATTTTTCTAAGATGACAAAAACATGTTGCAGTGCTTGTTTTGATTTTAATCTGTTATTTTTCAACGCTAGGTCGAAACGAGTTGATCGCTCGTTATATAAAGCTGCGAACAGGGAAGACCCGTACCCGCAAACAGGTATGAACAAAGACTACTGGCCAACGCTGATCTCTAGCAGTATTTTGTATGCAGCTCGCATATGTTCAGATGTTTTTATATTTAGTTATTTGTCTGTTTTATATTAATTGCTGTGCTTATTTTTGACAGTTTAAATTGAAATATCTTCCTTCGGTTGTGTTTGTTTTCATGGGGGTATCTTGGCCCCAAAGGTTTCTAGTCACATTCAAGTTTTGGCACGTAAGAGGGTGCGAGAATATCAGGCCAGCATCAAGGTGGGTACTTGCACAATCTCTTTCCTCTATAGTTATATTCCTTCTTTTCTTTTCCTTCTTCCTCTCCTCCCTATCCCTTCATCCTGTCTTTCTTCAGGTCTCTAGTCACCTGCAAGTTTTGGCCAAGAGAAAGTCTCGTGAGATTCAGTCTAAACTGAAGGTACACACTGACTTGGCTGTGCATGTGGCCCAAATCTAACTCAACCCATTTAATCATCACAGGTGAAGATGCACTGGTTTTGGCTTCTTTTTATTATGAGCTTAATAAAACATCTGTTGCATTTTCTAGTATTAGTTAAAACCACAGGAATTGTAACTGGGCAGTGCGAGCTAAATAGTTTGCACTTTCAAGACTATTTGCAACTAGGTGAAAAAAATAAATAAATCTCAGACTTTATTTGTTTGCTAATAAATAACAATGTGAAACAATGCATAGCAAATGTATTAAGTTCGTCCTAATGCCAAGCTAATCCCTGGCATCTGTATTTATTTGCATGACTTTATAGTGGTCATCAGGGCACACATTCAGAAATGTAAATTTAGGGAATCAGTTTTTGTTTACTTGGTTGCTTTAAAAGTCCTATTTTGCATGCTGTCTATTTTTAAAGGTTGTATGCATTGCTCGCTGGAAAAGCCTTTGCACGTCAGATGTATGACAATGAGTCTGTCTGTTGATTTAACTTAAAGGGATGCTTTGCAAAGTCATGAAGATTGGACATAAAGAAACTAAATCCACACAATATGTTTCTCACTGATGTGTCCTTAAATAAAAAGTTGTCGCTGAAAGCAAGCACATGGTTGTTTGTTTACCTACGGAAACAGACGTCATGACTGAAAATAGATTGAATGTTAAATATACCAGCCATTTGTTCACTTACACAGACTGCAGCCAACCTAATGTAGGTCAGTCATGTAAGTCAAGCTTCCATGTGACTGGTTAACAAAGCCCAGCTGATTCAGCCAAAGGCTTTGTTTACATTGTGTGCAGACCCACATTTCAGAATTATAATCACTGTATCTGGAAAACTACTGAAGTAAACCTATTCAAACTGCACCATATCCTATAACTTAGAACAGTGGTGCCCAATCCTGTTTTTTGAGGACCACTATCCTACATGTTTGCTCGTTTTCCTGCTGTTTAGTGGGTCTTCAAGTTCTGCAGAAGCATCATTTAGATGTTTCTCTACATTCACACAACTGACTTGAATAAATAAGTGCTTAACGGACTTCTGTAGAGCTTGTAAGACCTGCTGACGAGCAGGAAAACAACTAAAATGTTCAGGTCAAGGACCCTCGAGGACCAGGATCAAACACTTTTAAGGTTTTATTTCATACTTTGCAACGAGTACCTTTTTAAGAGATTTACTGTTTTAGACAGAATAATTGCACGAGAATATCTGGCAGGTAGTTGATTGATGTGTTTGGCTGTACCAACATATTCATGCCCACAAACACAAACAGGCAAAGACTGTTTTTTACCTGCATTTCATTGTGGTGCACAGTCTTGATCCACATTTGATCTCTCTGTTCTTGTTCTTCAACTCTTTACTTCTTTCATCTTTTAATATTCTCTTTTGTAATCTAGTCATATAAGTATTTTAGCCAAACATTTGGTTAGGTCTGAGCTGTCATTGCAAACTTCAGAATAAGTTATGTCACTGTCAGGATGTTGTTTTTGGTCTGAGCATCCTGGCAGAACAAACCGTTAATGGTAAAAGTATCTTTCTTGAGTTATGCCTAGATTTTAAGTGTTCCCTTCATTTTTTATTGTCTGGTACCTATGGCTAGTAGTTAAAGTATTTCTCAATATCACAATATTTCAAGGAAATTTGCTGCTTATGATGATAAGAAAATACTGCAAACACATAAGGGTGTTTTTTATTTTCTACCGACTTACTGAACTTGATAATTTGATTGTATTACTGCAGGACTTTTGTATCATCAGTGTTATACTGCACCACTAGTGACATTAAGTTGAATGGTCAAAAACCTTTGGTATAACATGCTTGACAGAAATGATCACTTCCTGATCTTCAGGCTTGCAAAATACACTGTCACTCAAATAAAACTAGCTTCAAATTTTAAATAAAACGTAAACGAAAAGCAGCAATACAAACAAGCTGGATAGACTTCTCCGAGCCTTGCTCCAACAATACAATGTGTAAACACATCTGTAGTTTCTGTTGTCCTGTACTTCAAGCTGCACATAGCGATTAATGGAGCAATGACTAATTGGTATCTCTAAATTGTCCCTAGGTGTGAGTGAGCGTGTGAATGGTTGTTTGTCTCGCTCTGTCCCGCCTCTCCCACAGTGGCTGCTAGATATGGGCACCAGCAACGACCCCTGAGACCCAGAAAGGAAGAAGCAGGTCAAGCTAATGGATGAATGGATGCTTGTTGAGTCATTTGTTTACTTAGAAACATAATAAAGACTTTGTTCTGATAAAGCAACATATACTGTAAATGACAGTGAAAGTAGGGTGACAAACAGCTTTTCAGGTTTTGGTATTTTTGTTGTGATTATTTGCTAAGCTTTGTTATGCTCTCTTTGTTATGGATTATTGTCCTCTTGTTGTTCTCCTTCAACTATTCAAACTTGAAAAAAGAACAATATCCTAAATGAAAGTACTTCCTGAATATGCAGTGAGCTACATGTTTCTCCTTACTGCCAAACAGTTAATCTATCCCCTACTTTCAGATGAATGTACTAAACTTACTTTATACCATGTCTTTTTTGCCATAGGCCATGAACTTGGTAAGTTTCAACTACAGTTCTCTGCTATAGGCTTTGTGCTGTGTGGCTGGCATCACATTACTGATTGTCCACACTGCAGATGTACTACCAGACTCTAAACTCTGCTCTCTGCTGGTTTTTTTTTTATTGTTGTTGTTTTTTTGTTTTTGTTTGTTTTGTTTTTATTTGAGTGCTGGTGAGGGTTAGCTTTTCTAGCTCTGTACGCCTCCTGCTGTTGCTTCTTCTCAGGTCTGCTTTGCTGCGTGTCATTTCTCTGCATATAGTTCCTGCATCCTGCTGACGTGCAGCACATGTCAACTTGCTTGCTGCCTATAATGATATAAAGTTGGCTGACTGTGGAGTTTTAACCTACATTACCATCCTACATTTTAAAGAAATGTCAAGGTGTTTGTTTTTTTCATGTATTACTTTCTGTCTTTTTTATTTTCTATGCAGGATCAGGTATCCAAGGACAAGGCACTCCAGACAGTGGCCAACCTCTCGTCAGCTCAGATTGTGTCGGCGAGTGTAATGAAACCGCAGCCTTCCTTCCCTCCACCAGTCAGAGTGAGACAAAAACTAAAGGTGCTCCAGTCAATTGGCCTCCGATTGTTACTGGCAGATATCCATTTCATTTCGTTTGATTGGGTTTCACTAAAAAGGCAAATCAGATTAGTGGAGGAAAGTTGTCTCCTGTAGAAGTCGGAGTAGTCCACTAGGGGGCAGCACATGGTCTCATAAAACTGGATGCTTCAAATGAGCCATGGACTAAATATCTGTTGTAGTTTTCATTGTTAATAACCATATCTGAATTAGATTATCCGGAACTGTTTACAGCCTTGATAATTGTATTTTATTTGAGTTCTCATCTGCGGCTGATTGTGGAGAAAAAAATTCCTCCGAGCCGGTGTGCAGGACTGATTAACAATTACCAGAAACATTTGATTGCAGTTGTTGCTGCACACAGGGGTTCACACAGATACTGAAAGCAAAGGCTCACATGCTTTTTCCACTCACAAATATGCAACATTGGATCATTTTCCTCAATAAATAAATGGCCGCCGCATTTTTGTCTCATGCTTAACTGGGTTCTCTTTATTTACTTTTAGGACGTGTATGATAATCTATGTTTTAAGTCATATTTCTGCAGAAATGTAGAAAATTCTAAAAGGTTCACAAACGTTCAAGAGCCACTGTAGCTTTAGCATTAAATCCTGCTTTCAGCAGTCGGAGATTGATGCATATGATCCTGACTGGAGCACTCTCATAACTAAATGCACAGAGATCACCTGTTTTTTTTTTTTTTATATATATACCTTTTTAGCTGAATATGTCCTCAGCTGTTTTATTCCTTGTTTGATTGTACAGTTTTGGCCTGGCCCTGTACCAGGACAGCCCGGACATTCTCAGGAGTAAGTGTCGCGGTCTAATTAGGTGATTTTTGATGATATAAATTTGGACAGAATTTAAGTCTCTGCCTCCTTTTTCTTTACATCAACAGCATTAAGCCCTTTGCACAGCCTCCATACACCGCACTACCAGCCCCTATTCCTCCACCTATCAGTAAGTGGAAAAAACTAAATGACCGTTTAACAGTTTTCTTTTTGTAAGGGAATAAAAAAAAAATTTCTGCATGCACGTCAGGTTACGAAGCCTTGCCACCCCCTCGGCCTGCAGCCATAGCAGCTCCTGTATGGCAGGACAGAACCATTGCTTCAGTGAATCTACGGCTGCATGAGTTCTCTGCTTTTCTGGAGACCCAAAGAGACAGAGAGACGGTACTTACATCAAACCTTTTTCTTCTTCTTTATAACCAATGTAACAACATTTATTGTTGATGAAAATTTAAATTAGTTTTGTTCTTCATCTCATTACTTTTCCCCCTTTGTTTCCTTCAGCATAAACACCTTTTTGTTCACATTGGGCCATCAAATCCAGGCTACAGTGACCCTGTGTTGGAGTCTATAGATGTGAGGCAGATTTACGATAAGTTCTCGGAAAAGAAAGGAGGCCTGAAGGAGCTGTTTGAAAAAGGGCCACACAATGCCTTCTTTCTTGTTAAGTTCTGGGTGAGTGCTCAACACAAGCATTCCTCCTGAAATTCATGGCACTCACAAACATGAATTTGGTACTCGCCGAATTTGCTAAACGTAAAACAACTACGAGGATTTGTGAATTTATTTTCTATGACCTAACAGATATTTATTAGAAAGCTGACTCTGTTCTCTCTCCGTGCATCATTCTGCGTTTCTTTTAGGCCGACCTGAGCGGCGACATTGAGGAGGGCTCCGGTGCGTTTTACGGAGTGAGCAGTCAGTACAGTGGGACCGAAAACATCACCATCAGTGTTTCTACAAAGGTCTGCTCCTTTGGCAAGCAGGTTGTGGAGAAGGTGGAGGTGAGGACAGGAACCAGTTGTTTAGTCATAATTTTACACGTAAACTTGTGTTTTTTAATTGTGTGTGTGTGTGGATTTTGGTCTTCTAGACAGAGTATGCCCATTTGGAAGGGGGGAAGTACATTTTCCGCATCCATCGTTCACCCATGTGTGAATATATGATCAACTTCATCCACAAACTGAAACATCTGCCTGAGAAATACATGATGAACAGTGTTTTGGAGAACTTCACTATTCTACAGGTATTCTCCTTTTTAACTTGTTTTTGGTAAATTATGTTGCTAAGCATAACACATCTTGGTAAAAATAGTGATAACTGTGGACTGCCTACTAAGGCAGCACCTATTCTTATGCACCTGACTTTGGGTTTCTTAACTTTATATCTTACTCTTCTGTCAACTTTAATGCTTCCCAAACCACAACGTGTACCCCCACAAATGTTATATCAAAACGACCGGATCAGCACCGTGATGTGTGCTTTTACTTTTATTGGCGTTTTGTCTTCGAGTTACCATGGCGATGCGATTAGCAAACAAAGACGCCATTTTTCTCATTCAAAATGCCTGAAGGAACTCGACAGCTTCTAATTGTTGTAGCTCAATCTTTCTTTGAGCTATTGAGCTGAAATATTCTGTCCATAGTTGAGAACGAGTTTTCATACATTCCTTATGCAAATCAAAATACCAAGATGGCCGTCTGAGCTAAAAAGGAAAAATACTATAAATCAGCTAATTTTAGAGATATTGAGCTAAAATATTGTGTGTCGATAGCTGAGAACGTTTCCCATCAAATACTGAATCCAAATAAAAAATCCCAGATTTCTGCCTTGGCTAAAAGGGAAAAAATATGATAACTCAGCCATTTTTAGAGCTATTCAACTGAAATTTGTTTTAGTGGTAGCTGAACCCGAACACACACTACTTTCAAATCAAAAATTTAAATTGGCAGCAGCGTGGTAGTCCCATCAAAGTTTCTCCAGGAACTTTCTGGTGTTGCTTTTATAATTTGGAATTGTGCAATAAGTTTTGTTTAAGCAATTTTTTCACATTAAGATCACTTCAGAGGGTTTTAAACCAGTTTTTAAGCGTCTTTTCTTACTGCAGTGTTTTTCCTGTATAATAACGTTAGATTGAACAATGTGTTTGCTCATATTTAATAATGGTTCTCTGTACTGTTTATTCTTTCTTTTGTCAGGTGGTGTCCAACAGAGAAACTCAGGAGACTCTGCTGTGCATTGCCTTCGTGTTTGAAGTGTCCACAAGTGAACACGGAGCGCAGTACCACGTGTATCGACTAGTTAACGACTAGCAGCGTGTTGCATGCAGAGACTCGTAGAACTTTTGATACAAACAGCTTAAAACTTATTTCCAGCTCAACACACAAAACCCTTCCTTTAAACGCACTCTTTTTCTTCTTGTAATCAGACCAACCGTCACATTGTAGTCATGCCTACTGCTTGTTCGATGTGTATTTTATCTGCAGCAATAACGACTGAATCAGTCAACAGTCACAGAAACGTTTAATGTTCAGTGTCGTTTTTGTTTCTCGTAATCAGATCTTTAATATGCCTTCCGATATTTTTAACTCCTAAAGTAAAAACAACAAAAGGCTCTGAATTGTTTTGAGAGCCTTCTCTTTAGAATTTGAACACTATAAACTGGGATTGTTTCTGTGGTCTACTATTGGTATGACTGTTAGAACTTCTCCAGCATATACATTGCATCATGGGTAAGACTGACATGAGACGAGTTTGAATCTATTTCTACAAAAAAAGTCATTTAATGCGTGTTAATATAACCTGCCACATTGGTTATTTCTTCTGCGATTTGTAGTATTATCTGTTACAGCGAACTTCATTTTGTTTTTGGATACAATAATCATTGCAAACGTCTGCCTCCTCTCAAAAAACAATGCACTACATGTAAAGCCGTGCATATCATATTTATTTTTAACACTAAGTGGGAAGAAAATGCCCATTTTTCTTAACAAGTTTTTGATTTTTAAAGCTTTTCAGTGGTACACAGTGTGGAGGGAAAATCTCTAACGTGCATCAAATATTGGCTGACGCTTGTTTGGGAAGAACAAAAAAAGTTTGATTACAGTTGAACACTTTTTAATGAGAGATTTCTCTCTCTTGTTTTTTCCTGATTGTGTGGGCTTGCTGGAGTATTCCTACCTCCACACACGATAAGAATGTGCTTTGATTCCTAAAGCTGCAGCTGAGGAGCACTGATGTGTACACTACACTTGTAATGGTACTGTTTATAAACCAAAACCAAGATTAATAGCTGCATTTTTGTAAGGTGGTTGTTTTGTATTTCGTCGACACGACAAGTAAACTAATGTGGTTGATGTCTATGGTACAGACCATGTTAGGGGCATCCACAGTGCTTTTTGTCTGATAACACTAACTGTCCAGCTGATATGTTACTCTAGTAAATGTTTGTTTTTGTTTACTGGTGCACACTGTTGCCAACCTGTTTTACATATAATTTGACTCCATCACGCCTACTGCTGGAGGGTTTGCCTATAAACGCAAGGAGGAAAATCAAGTTATGCGACTCACGACAATGAGAGTGAATTGTTTCTGGTTTAAACAAGCTTGTCGTTTATTTTATTTTTATTGTGGGGTCATCCAGAAGTGTTGTATTTTATCACTGCTTTCTCATGTGTGTATTTAGTCTGACTTTGCCTCTTGATTCCTTTGGTCAAATGTGCTCAGAGGATTAAAACTGTGCCTTTATGCTGTACCCATAACATCACATGGTGGCTGAGAAATCAGGATAGAAAATACTCTTAATAAATTCTTAAGTAAACAATCTTTTGACTTTAAATGAATTTGATTTCTGTGGAGTGCTTTGTTTCTAATCTCTATCAGCAAACGTACTGTATATAGCAACAAGCATTGATCTTTGTATGATTAGGTTCATATCAGCTGCTTACATTTTGATGATTGCGCAAGAATAAATTACCGTATTTTTCGGACTATAAGGCGCACCGGATTACAAGGCGCAATGTCAATGAACGGGTCTGCTTTCATACATAAGTCGCACCGGATTATAAAATGCGTTAAGCGAAACAAGTTAATTTTGACAGATTTTTGAGCGCCGTGCGCCACATAAAATTGGTTTGAGGTCACAACCAGAATTAATACATGAGGCGCACCAGATTATAAGGCTCACTGTTGATTTTTCAGAAAATTAAAGGATTTTAAGTGTGCCTTAGTCCAAAAAATATGGTATTTGTTCCTTTTTTGAAAAAAAAAAAAAACGTATTAATTTTCTTAGAAATTGTATTTTATGTAAGTAAAAAGAGTTGACTCAACAGTTAAAGGCAAAGTTATAAAAATGGATGCCATGCAATCGGTGCTCAAAGTTAAAAAGAGTCAACTACTCTGAGACCCAAGAGTTTAGCTCAACTGCAGCATCGACTTGGTTATAGCCAGTTTTGGGTTTGCTAATGATGCTTAGCTGTAGCAGCTATTTTGAAGTTATCAGTGGTAAATGTGCAATCACTGTTTACTTCAAGTTTCATTGAAATTTGACATTGCTTATTAGATTCACTGCCTGGCCAAAACAAAAACCTGAATTTAACTAAGCAAATGGGTATGAACCTTCTATTGGATAATTACTGCATGGGTGATTATCTTTCAGCTGCAACAAGTTATTTAACCCCAACTGGTGCAATGAGTTGCTTCTCATTTCTTAAACAACCATGTTGAAAGACACATCGTGTGGTCGTGGAAAAGATGTCAGTCTGTTTGAGAAGGGTCAAATCATTGGCATCAAGCAGAGAAAACATCTAAGGAGATTACAGAAACTAAAATTGGGTTAAGAACTGTCCAACGCATTATTAATGGCTGGAAGGATAGTGGGGACCCATCGTCTTCGAGGCAGAAACGTGGCCTACTGTACAAGCCTGTGGGGGCAGTGCTATGACCTGAGGTTGCTGCAGTTGATCAGGTTCAGCAACAGAATGTGCTCAAAGAATGAGGTCAGCTGACCTGAATATACTGAATGACCAGGTTATTCCATCAATGGATTTTTTTCTTCCCTGATGGCACGGGCATATTCCAAGATGACAATGCCAGGTTTCATCAGGCTCGAATTGTGAAAGAGTGGTTCTGGGAGCATGAGGCATATTTTTCCACACATGGATCGGCCACAGCAGAGTCCAGACCTCAACCCCATTGAGAATCTTTGGGATGTGTTGGAGAAGGCTTTGGGCAGTGGTCAGAATCTGCCATCATCAATGCAAGATCTTGGTGAAAAAATAATGCAACACTGGATGGAAGTAGATCTTATGACATTGCAGAAGCTCATCGAAACAACGCCACAGCGAATGCATGCTGTAATCAAAGCTAAAGGCGGTCCAACAAAATATTAGTGACCTCTTTCTTTTTGGTGGCGACATTTTTTTTTTTTGGCCAGGCAGTGTATTTAGCTAATTCTATAATCAATCAGCGCACAGACACATAAACATTATTCCCTTTACGCAGTGGGCATTTAAAATTAAAACAGTCTAACCTTTGTTTTACTAGTGTTTCTCCACTAAATACTAATTAACATTTACCTTTTATTACAAACAGATGTCAAAAAAATGCAATAAAGTGGTGTTCAATGTATTTGTCATAAAAAAGAAGAAAACAGCTGTAAAAATGTTGGTGCTTTTATTTATTTTAAATTTGTTCCTCAGTTGTTCATTTTTATGTGCATGATGTTAAATAAAAGCAAAAGGCAGAGCAAAACTGGATTGAATGTTAGTATTTAATAAAACTTAAGCCTAATTGGATTTGACTCTTAAATCGAATAGAAATTAATCAAATGTTGTAACTTTATTGATCCCCTGAGGAAAACCGGTTTGTCACAGCAGCAAACAACTTTAAAATTAAAAACACAATTGTTTTTTTTTTTTTTTAACTCAAATAGATCAGAGGTAGTGTAATAAATGCAGAGTATATTTGATTTCCATATTGATCATAAATCAATATTGCAGCTAATATTGATTTGATGCATCAAGTTTGCAGTGTTTAGGTTTCCCTCTAGAGGATGCTGTCACCTTAAATTCACACATTCAAGAAACAATCTGCAAACTTTACCTTCTCCATGTACATTCTCTCTCCAGATGTGCCTCTGAAGGCGTGCTAATTCTTATTTTCAACATCAGCCATACATTTCCTCAGGTCGTTGCTAATGGTATTTATTTTCATTTCTAAACAATAGAATGAGTCTTTAATACTATAGTGAAAGTTTCAGACTAGTTTAATTTTAGAACTTAAGACAATTTGTAAGGTTTGATTTGCCTATACGTGAAAACCGAATACAATACCTGAACTATTAAGGAAACTTATCCCATTTAATGGTGAAATTTATGAACACCAGAAAAGAATAATTTATAATAACTCCTGTTTCAATGAGCGAGATAATAATATAGCATGTTGTATGATGTGTTGTGTAAGTGTTGGCAATCATTCAAGGCGTACGCAACAATGTTAAAAGTTTTAACAAGTTTGACCTCATAGACCTTTCTCTGCAGCATGACACTGATTTAGATGTGTGTGTGTGTGTGTGTGTGTGTGTGTGTGTGTGTGTGTGTGTGTGTGTGTGTGTGTGTGTGTAGCTGCTCCAGCTAATCTGACCTGCAGACTAAATGTTTAGTCAGTTTAGTTTAAAGCTACTAATTTAAATGAAACAAGGTTATTCCCAAAGCCAGGTTTCTGTGCATTTTGAATGCTTTTACACTATTTTTTAAATGCAACCTCAAATTAGAAAATGTTGGGACAGTATGGAAGCAATGTATAAATCCTAGATAAATCACATTCAGTACATTTCTGCGTTTTAGATTTTCATCATGGACCAAGACAGTTGTGACTTTTGCTAGTTTGTACCAACCACAAACACTCAAAGATCAAGGATTTAGATAGATATTTATTTATGAGGTCATTCCTCAAGATGCCAACACAAAATAATAAAAAAAATTCTTACAACAGTCCAAAGAATTACCTAAAGTCAATAATATGCATGTAAAATTATATACTGAGAATACCGTGTGATTAAGAGTTTCAGGTAGTATTTGTGTTGTCAGTATTTGTTGTCATCATGTAAATACAAATGTTTGCAAAAGAAGTATTGAGCCTAAATGGTTCTTTTTATGTGGCAAAAAAAAAAAAATAATAAAAAAATAAAACAGAGGAATAGTGATGTCATTATCACACTTCCACTGATCATTTGCACCAGGTGCCCCAGAAAGAAGTCAATGCAATCTTTTTACTTTTGCACTGTCGTGCATTTTAGTGTTCGATAAAGATTTTCTAAACTAATTGTTTTATCGTGTTTTTTTTTTTCTTCAGTTACTGGTGGAAGATGTTTGCATCAGAAGGATCAGAGATCTTGAGTTTCCAGCTTCGCCCTGAGCCCTTCCCTGTTATACAAAGAAATTTTCCACACTCCCTAAAATGTTGAATGACACAATTAACTGTGGAGAAATATGTGGATCCCCCCCAGTTTAACACTGATGAACTTGATTTTTTTTTTTAAACCAATCAAAAAATATATTTCATGCATTCTGAATTTCAAGTTTAAATCTCTGCATTAAGCTGATGCATAACAAACAGCTCATTTCATCAACTGCAGTGCGTTCAGTTTTATGGGGCACATAAAAGCTCACCAGGAATTTATTGCTTCGGCAGCGTTCAGGTGAAGGGCGTGGTGGGAAAATGTCACCGGGAGAAGCTTTGCCAAAAAACAGGCTGTTTCGCAGCACTCACCACCTCAATTCATTACTTCATTACTTCCCTGTCAGCCACCTTTTCATTGATCTTGTCTCACTTTGTCCTTTGATTCCTCACCTTTTTCTCTTTTCTTTTCTGCCAGCTTGACTCATGTTTTCTCATCCTGACTCACGTGCAAATCAGACACTAACATGCTCTTCTGTGCAGCAAACTGCTGAAAGACTTTCAGAGCAATCGTTTCCAAAAGGATCTTGTATTGTTGATTTACTCCAGGTCTTAAAACCTCCCGATGCTGATTCTTATGTTACACCATCACACCATGACAGAAAACTTGGATATTTGATCAACTTTGGTTTAAGATCCAATGTTTTTTAAATGAAAATACCTTTAAGAATATAATGTTTGTCTGAAAATAAAACAAACTGTGTGCATAAAAAGGCTTTGTGTTGAGGTAAAACTTTAATTAGAAATAAAAACTTTTTTTTTTCAAAAAAGAACCATAAAGTTGTGTACATAATGATAGGTTATGCTTTACTGATCATAAAACAATACTAATTATAAAGATCAAATATGGCCTCTGTAAATAATTACAACGAAAAATAAATATTTAGCTAAATTGTTCCAGAAAAACGTGTATGATTTGTTTGCTTCTCTTGTTAATATATATATATATATATATATATATATATATATATATATATATATATATATATATATATATATATATATATATGTGTGTGTGTGTGTGTGTGTATATGTATGTGTGTGTGTGTGTGTGTGTGTGTATAGATATATTAGTATTAATATTTCACACTTCTTTGGATTGGACTGTACTGTAATTCAGTTCCTTTTTTGGGGGTGTCTAAAGTGTGTGTGTGTGTGTGTGTGTGTGTATATATGTGTTCATAAAGCAATATTTTGCATATTTAAATGTAAATTTTCTTACAGCATGGACTGTGACTCATTAGCAGCCTCAGCCTATTTTCCAAGGGGTGACCAGATGGGGCCACTGATAATCATAGGTTGGCGAGCTGAAACCAAAAGCTACTCATAAATCTAGTAAACAATAATCTTGTAAAAAAAAAAAAAAAAAAAAAAAAAAAAGGGTACTTCAAGTTATTTAAAAACTTTTTTCTTTTCAACTTTTTTTTTTTTTTTTTTCTTCTTCAGTTTTTGAGGTACTTCTTCTAAATTGCATTTGTGTCAACAGTCCCAGTTTAGGCGGAATATTCCTGAAATTTGCTCAACCAAATGACGAATTCATGATTTATAGACCAAGATATGGAGTTTCAGAATCAGAAAAAGCTTTATTATCATTGCACCGAGATACAACGAGAACATGTACAGCCGTCCGAAAGATGGACAGAGTGCACAACGCTGCTGCTAAAAGCATGGCCTTCTTATTCTTATTCAGAATAATACTTTGAGATAGGAAAAAAGGGAATAACCATGAAAATAGATAGTGGTATTACAAAAAAGATCTCTTTACGTCTTGCCCTATCAGGACACGATTTGAGACATTAAAAACTCTACTAGCACGCACATTTATAGACATGATTACATATGCATTTGACATGTACACAGGGTCCCAGTTACATACAACAATAAAATGTAAAAGAAAAGCAGTAATACGGGTAGAAGCTGTTCCTCAGTCTAGTGGTTCTACACTTGATGCTCCTTAACCTTTTGCCTGAGGGGAGCGGAGCAATGAGTGTGTGTGCTGGGTGAATGGGGTCCTTCATGATGCAGGTTTTTGTCTTTCAGGTACACCTGCACCTATATCTGGACCTACCATTCTGTGTTCGTCTGTCTCTCCTTCCTGTCCTCCCAAACCAGCCGGTCAAAGCAGATGGCAGCTTGTCCTGAGCCTGGTTCTGCTGGAGGTTTCTTCCTTTTAAAAGGGAGTTTTTCCTTTCCACTGTTGCCACTGTGCTTGCTCAGGGTGGGAGGCTGCAACAAAGCCAAGATTCAACTTGTCTGCTGGATTCCTTAGATAGAGAACTTTACTAATTGGCTTTTC